TAGAGGTGAGAAGTTGTGGACAATCAGGATTTCCGCACGCCTTATCCCGCGCGCCGCATGAAGACTGCGCCCGCTGTCGTAATATTGATGTGGCCCTCCGCAGGCGATTCTTCGGCAGCATGTGCTAAAACCACGATAGTAGGGCATTCGCGCGAGAGGGTGACGAGCGCCACAGCGCATCATCAGAACCCGCTCGAGTCAAAATTTTGTTATTAGACCTAGGGTTTTTTGGCGGGAAGTGTACCGCAGTCGGCGACTGCGCCCCTGGTCCGGGCCTTTACGAGGCCGGGCCTCAGATTATGCTGTCGGACGGCAAGTCCGGCCGACCGCTGTGGGATCCGGCTTAACCACATACCATCATCATTGCGCTCCCAAAAGGGCAGACATCCTCTTGCATGCTCGCCGAATGCCGTCATTCGTTCATACTCAGTTGTGGTATACTGGGATCGTCAGGATACGCCTCGAGAGATTGTGCTAAAGGTATATGAGTCTGCGATATATCAAGTTCTAGCGATGCTCAAAAATTTATAGAGCAAAATAGCGAGATTCGGTATTTTTAAGTTACTTTTATGATTGTTATAGGGATTATCTTGACTCAGGTTACTACAAAGGTGTTTATGAGTGTGTAATGAAAGGCTGAATGTTTCGTAAGGTTTGTGTATCTTTTATGTCAAAAGAATTTGAATTTTACATCGGTCTAAAGAGGTTTTCTTAGTTCATAATTATGGGTTTTCGAGTTAGGCACAAAACTAAGGGGCTGAATAAAGAATAGTATTATCTATTACGAGAAATAATGTTTGATTTCATTCATTTAGCTATATAGAGAGAGAGAATATTATTATGTTGTTCTATTTTATTGGTATGGGCAGTGAATATATTTTCTAGAACTGATTATTAATCTATGTTTATGCTGGACGACTAATGAAATAATAATCTATATCGGCTTACTTTGAAAGTAGGTGGTGGGAGTGGCTAATTCTACATACTCTGTTGTTGTATGATGCCATAGCAGATGCTTGATCAGAATTTTGTGCTGTGTGTGTAGATGTCGCTCGGTGGTAGATTTAAAAAGAAATAAGTAATTTTCGCGTTGAATGAAATTTAATGTAGTCCAGTAGTATCTCTCGATAGGTCTGATTGGTACAATTACACTACTGTTTCCTACGGCTATATTGAAAAGGCGCTCGCCATATAAGTGGAGATAATGTACCCCATCCTTATATGGTTATGTCGGAGATGAAAACTACTGGGCTGTCACGTGTGTCGAACATCGTTTGTCCTGCTTCGCGATTGTGGTAGTACGCACGAGCTCACTGCCTT